GCTAATATCTATAGTCTCATGTGTTATCAGCAGAATGGTTATCTGATGTCCAGAAACTGTATTACAGTTGTGACAGACGTGGCAAAAATTGAGCATTAATTTCATTTTCAATTGCAATATCTTCTCTCTGACCTGACAGTTCAAGAAGTCATCACTGGACTAACTAGAGTGAGCAAACTCAATATGAGAGCCACTAAAGAGGAATCTCCAGGATGTCTTTTCACGCAGACACTTTCTCTGGCTATAGCTTCTCTTGAGCAGAATGTGCTAGTGAATCACTCACTGCTCTGTCTTGGGTTAGCTCACATCTATTTAAACCAGCGTGAAGCTCCGCACCTTTGATGTGAGTTAATTAAGCTCACATGGCTTTCCCCAGCCAGACTTCTGCAGCTTTAGAAGCTAAGGGAGCCAAATTAGGCCCATCTGCCTAAATGGAAGGGAGTCCTCTCTGGCCATAAGGCATGCTTCATTATCCAGCACAGGAGCTGCCTTCCAAGAGCGCCAGGAAAGGGTGCTTCATTGCTGCCAACAGCTACCCGGAATACCAGGTACACCAAGCACGGGGGGTTTCACAAGAACCATGACTCTGTGCCATCAGTTTCTTCACACAAATGCCTCAAGGGTCAGTCTGTCTACAAAGGGATTTCCTGCAGTAACCTTTTGTTTAACACTTGGAACTTCTTGGCAGCAATAGATCTGTAAAACACATTTGATTTTATTTTTTTCTTTCCATTTAAAAATAAAGAAGGGACTAGCAAACTTCAGTGGGGCAGAGGCAATGACTCTCTCTTCCTTGATCCTGCAGCCATTCATTGTGTAACTGAAGTTTTTAGTCTGTACAAGCTCTGGAATCTTCTCAGTCGCTAAGTTTGAATCCCAAGAAGAAAGAAAATTCAGTAAAAGCAGCTTCAAATCTAACTTTGGCCTTTCTTGTTTCTGCTACTTATTATTTATCGCTTATACAGCATTTCAGAGGAAGACATTAGAACTGCCATCCAAAAATCAAGCTGCCATCTCCCAGCTGTATCGCAGCTGCTGATTGCCTGATCTTTCATGATTATAAAATCTAAAGATGTATCCCAATACCTTCCGCTTCATGAAATTTTTTGCACATGGGACCTGTGGCTTTGAGAAAGATGTCAACAGAGACTCCCCCTTATTCCTCATTTAGACCTGATCTCAGTGCAAGGGTTGGGTGTATCTTATGGTAGCCCTTTCTCATGATTCAGTAACCTTCCCTCCAGCAAAACCTTGGAAAACTGCACTAAAGCTACATACCTATCAGCTCTGCTCTAGCACTTTGTTAAAGAGAAGGAGAAGATCATCAGGAGGAAGAGCAGAAGTACTGCCCATCTCCAGCTCTGGCACAACCCCACTACTGGGAGGAGAGGGTATGTAAGACAGCACCGTCTGTCCTTGCCCCTTGCTAGGAGAGTAATGTGTGGCAAGCAAATCCAGGCTAGACTAACAGCTCAACAATACTGGTGCATAATAATTTTGAGGCTGCATGTATTTGCTAATCTGGTGCATATATTTTGCTATCATAGCATGTTTGGGATACGCTAGGAAGCTGGCGTCGCTCCCCATTCACTTTTTCAAAAACTCTGCAAATATACCACTTTTCCTCAAGCTGTAAAGAGAGAAAAAACATCACAACAAATGAGTCGCTCTTCCGTTCTGTCTTTCCCATTAGTGCTTCTGCGGCCAGTTCAGCATCTCTGCTCTTTAAACCAACTCCTGTTTCTACAGCAGATTATAAACGGGCCTACTCCTCTATCACCCTGGAAAACACCTTCTAGTCAGCATGGCTGCTCCCTGTGTACCTAAGTCAAGCCCCCCTACTTACTGACCAGAGCAAACTTCAGTTGCCATCAGCACTGTTTGGATGCTGCTGCTGTGGAAGCCAGCTAATATCTATAGTCTCATGTGTTATCAGCAGAATGGTTATCTGATGTCCAGAAACTGTATTACAGTTGTGACAGACGTGGCAAAAATTGAGCATTAATTTCATTTTCAATTGCAATATCTTCTCTCTGACCTGACAGTTCAAGAAGTCATCACTGGACTAACTAGAGTGAGCAAACTCAATATGAGAGCCACTAAAGAGGAATCTCCAGGATGTCTTTTCACGCAGACACTTTCTCTGGCTATAGCTTCTCTTGAGCAGAATGTGCTAGTGAATCACTCACTGCTCTGTCTTGGGTTAGCTCACATCTATTTAAACCAGCGTGAAGCTCCGCACCTTTGATGTGAGTTAATTAAGCTCACATGGCTTTCCCCAGCCAGACTTCTGCAGCTTTAGAAGCTAAGGGAGCCAAATTAGGCCCATCTGCCTAAATGGAAGGGAGTCCTCTCTGGCCATAAGGCATGCTTCATTATCCAGCACAGGAGCTGCCTTCCAAGAGCGCCAGGAAAGGGTGCTTCATTGCTGCCAACAGCTACCCGGAATACCAGGTACACCAAGCACGGGGGGTTTCACAAGAACCATGACTCTGTGCCATCAGTTTCTTCACACAAATGCCTCAAGGGTCAGTCTGTCTACAAAGGGATTTCCTGCAGTAACCTTTTGTTTAACACTTGGAACTTCTTGGCAGCAATAGATCTGTAAAACACATTTGATTTTATTTTTTTCTTTCCATTTAAAAATAAAGAAGGGACTAGCAAACTTCAGTGGGGCAGAGGCAATGACTCTCTCTTCCTTGATCCTGCAGCCATTCATTGTGTAACTGAAGTTTGTAGTCTGTACAAGCTCTGGAATCTTCTCAGTTGCTAAGTTGGAATCCGAAGAAGAAAGAAAGTAGCCTCAAGTAATCCACATCATCAGGTGCAGATGCTGGAGAAAGGACATAAACCACTCCCTGCTGCTAGTCAGTGCTAGGATCTAGGGAAGCAGAGGTAGTAGACACAATTATACAACTTCAGCTCCCAAATTTGTGTTAAAGGACTTGATCTTGTAGAGGAACTGCAGAACGGTGATCGGATCCCATACTGGCTGCGCCAGAGTCCTGTGCCTTATAACCATACTTTGGTTATGAGTTTCTGTATGTGTTATACAAAAGTTACCACCACAGCAAAACCATAAGTGACAAAAAAAATAATTCCTTCAGTCACCCGTTTTCCTTGAGACAAGACTTGAAGGAAATACCTGTAATTTGGAACATAAAACCATACAATACTATTGGGAAACACAAACATAAAACTGAAGACCTAACAAAGCAGACCTAGAAGCTTTTTTCTCTGCTACAGATGATCTTTATGAATGTTATGAAAACTAACAAAGACGTTTACAATGAAAAATGCACAGCGATCAGTAATACACACCCTAAGGAGTGACCAATATTTACTAATGTTACAGGACATTAAGGAAATTGTCCAACAAGTGAAGAGACATGATGTTTCTGTGACAGGCATCCTAAAAGACTCCTTAACCCTAACAAAAATGAAGCATGGAGATGACCTGCATATAGATTAGTTTTGGCTAAAGTGGGATTCCCCAGGGAGTCTACAGAACTGAATGGCTGAAAAAATGGCCAGTCGAGTAGTGTTTAATATGCTGTAGTTGGAGGACAGTTACAAGCAGACTAGTGCAAGGGCCCATCCTGTCAGATACTTGAGGAGGAAACAGAGGGGACCCCCATCAGGGTAATGGATGATGCCCACCTTGGGCTGCAGTCAATACGTTTGAGGGCAGGACTGCCATTCAGAGTGGCCTGGCAGGAGCCTCATGAATTCAACATAGACAAATGCCACTCCTGGTCCTGTGGAGAAGCAAGCCCGTGCACTGGCACAGGCTGGGGACTGACTGGCTGGGCCAACCTGCTCTGCAGAAAAGGCCTGAGGGACAGTAGACTTAGCACGAGCCAGCAGCGTGCCTGGGCAGCAATGACAGCCAGCTGCATCCCACAGCTTGTCAACAGCAGCGTAGCCAGGAGACAGAGAGAAACGATTCTTTCTCTTTCCCTGGAGCCTGTCAGGCTTTGCTTGGACCACCACCTCTGGGCCCTGCAGTCCTGCCTGCTAGGCAGGCTTTGATAAATTTGAATAAGTCTGGTGTAGAGCCACCAAGGTGCTCAAGGACTTGAGCCCTTGCCTTGCAAAAAGAGCTGGGAGACTCAGCTTGGAGGAAAGACAGCCTCAAGGAGACCTACCAGAAGGCTGCTGGTACCTATAGGTAGGTTATCAAAAAGATGGAGCCTGGTTCTTCACAGTGGTACACAGCATGAGAATGAGAGAAAACAGGTATAAATTGCCTGGGGGTGGTTCTCTCATAAAATGTCAGGAAAAAAGAATAGTTCACTGTGAAGACAGTGAAGCAGTATAACAGGTTGCTCAGGGAGGCTGCAAAGCCTCCATCCTTGGAGGTCTTCAAACCCAATCAGATAAAGCCCTGAGCAACCTGGTTTGAACACAGTGTTGATGTTGCTTTGAGGCAAAGGTTGGATTAGAGACCTCCTGAGGTCGCTTCCAGCCTGAAGGACTTGATGATTCAATGACCTCCTGGTACAGGTTCTGTAACATGTAATAATGGAAAAGGGTTCAAAAAAATTGAAGATTGCTTACATTTTGGAGCCTGAAACTAGTATTGGCACCATGGAGCACCAGTGCTTTAACAGTTTGTACAGTGCAAATGAAAAAAAGCTCACAGTTCCGTTGTGCTGACACTGGGAGCATCTCAGAGCAAGAAAGCAATGCTTTCATCAGACACTATCTTGCATCCAAGAGTTGAGGTTTGCAAGCAAATGTGCACAAGCAAAGAGTACTCTAATTAAAGAAGAACTAAGAAACACAGACTTCAAGGCTTGATGAATCATAACAAATACATAGAAAAAACTAATCCTGCTAATATCCACACATTTGAGTTCATCTGGAATGTTTGTGTGCGTGAACACAGTCACATATAGTTATTCCCTGTGGAGAACTCTTCCAACTAAAAAGTTGATTCTTCATCTGGGGCATGAATGGCAATCATCTGTTAATAAAGTCATAACTTCTCTACATACCATATCAAGTTCTTGGGAAACCCTCCGTTTGCGCAGCTCTTCCATCCTCTCACACACATCCGTGAAGCAGGTGTTATAGTAGTCTGCATACTGCTGTGCCAGGTCATCAATACTTCCCAGTGACCCATCCTACGGTGAAGACAAAGAGAAAAGAAAAAAAAAAAAATAGGTTAATCAATTTATCAATTTTAAAATTCTAATTTAAAAGTACCGTCAGAACTGTGAGGAAGACCCTCTCCCTGCAGCACAACCAGCACACAGCTCTTGGGTCATCCTCTTTAATCCCTAGCCCAAAGCACAGAAGAACAGTTGGGAAGTGCAACACCACAGCAGCTCTTCAGAAACAGGTGGGTTCCTTGGTAATTCCCACACAGAGAGGGAAGGCAGGGACAGCAACGCACAGCAGAGGAACAACATATCCCCAGGCACTATCTGCCTCGATTCCCTCCCACCCACACATACTCCCATTCTGTCTGGTTCTCCCAAGCAGTTGTCCACTCATCCAATAACCACAGTCACTACACACGTTCCACTGACCTTCTTTACTGGGAGTAGCCCTGCTTTCCTCGACAATGACTAACAGCAATTTAAAACATTAAACTTCTTGCTTATAAGCACAATCAGACGGACTGCAAACAATTCCAGCCAAATGACTTCAACCGGCGAGTTTATGCCACCCACAGAGACACTCTGCCAGTTGGTCTTTCAAGATGCACTGGAGGCAGAAACAGGGTTTGCTCAGCCCCAAATGCCTGCTGTGTTCGGCAGGATTGCTACCCTGTTAATGAAATGGCTATAGCCAGGAATCTAATTGTAATAATCTCTTAATTACAGTCAAATTCCTACTGATGATGGATAAGGGAAAAAAAACCCAACCTCAAAACAAAAAACAGGCTGAATTTTAAGTGGCATGAGAAATCCTTCTAAACCTCAGGTACATATGCCACAGAGGGCTGGGCAGGGTGAATTAACTATTTTTTGGTACACTGTATGCATGCTTAAAATGGGTCCAAAAGATGACATGGAGTAATTTTGTTTCTTTATTTGTCTAGTTTATGAAAGAGTATATATATTACTGCATACATTCTTTAAAAGGAAACAATCTACACTGTACATATTCTGAGAAAAGGAATACACTGCAGTGTTACTTCATTGTTGCTGTTAATAGATGCAACAAGTAAATATAAAATTATGTCTTGAATATTAAGAAAAATCTAAGCAATCAAGAAATTGTTTAAAAATAATTATGCTAATAATATATGTAAGTTACAATGCAGAGTTTTAGCATACAAGCTAGGAGGAAATCTTTTAATTAGAAACCACACCTTACTGAAGCTGTTGCCATTTGGAAATATGCTTGTGGTTCTGTTCTTGGGGTTCTTGCCTATGATAAGGGGCAGAACCATTTTAATGGAGTATCACTTCCAGAGAATTGGAAAAAGCATTCCAGTTTAAAACCGAAGTGAAATCCCATTAAACCTCAGACTTTGTGCAAACACACTCTCTACTTTTTTGAAGTACAATTCCACATGTGCAACAGGTATCCCAGATTCCCCAGGAAGTTCTGTAGAGCTCACATTCGCAGAATTCAGAACAGCCTGCAGTTCCTTAAAACTACTGTGTACAGTACAGGTAGAAAACAACTTGCATGTCATTTGTTGGGGCAGAAGAAGCAAAATAACACCACTAAATATATATTTATACACATCCCCTCCTCTATACATACCTATGTATGTTTTACTGTATTTCCTATCTCTCAGCCACCAAAGATCTCAAATGGGAGATGTTTCAAACATTAAAAGATTGGGTTCCTTAGTGCAAATACACTTCTGGGAACTTCAGACTTTCCAGAGCTTCAGACAAATAACTTTTCACACCCCTAAGAAAGAGTGTAGTTTACTAGGATACTCCCACTTTGGAGTATCTTCCCCAGATAGAGTCTTGTTTATTCCTTGATAAGCATTGCCAGTTAAGAGTATAGGAGCTGGAAACAGAAGGGCAAGACAGGAAACCATCATTTTATTAGAACAATGTGAAATCTACCTATTTACTTTATCAGTCCATCTCCTCTCTCAATTTTGGGAACCTTTAAATTTCAGATAGTAAATCTGCTCAGAAATTGGCGTTAACCTGTGAAGGTAAAGTCATGACTCTGAAACTGAGTGAAATACTCCAATCCCAAACATATCACATGAACTTCAGCTTAGCTGAGAACCGAGTGGAGCCGAGGTAAGGATTGCAGCAACTCCAGCATTCCTCTGCACACCTTCCCACACCCGTGCTCCTCAAGTCCATGGTCACCAACCACTCATGGGATAGCGACAGTGCTGCACAAGGGATCAAACCAAGCCAAACAAGTGCTCATTTTTCACTGCTGTTAGCATGGAGTTGTGCTTTTTTTTAAAGGGTGGTCTCTACAAGGCTGAAGGCTGTCCCTAGAGCAAAATTAGCTGGATTGCAGCACCCCAGTTAAAGAAGCCTGCAGAGCACGGGTGGCCCCACCACCAGCGAACATGTGGCTGCAAAGAAAAGCCTATTCACAAGCGACGTGGTCCGTCAACGCCACAGCCTCCAGAGAAGCTGGGCTGCGGGCACCAGCCTGACCCACGGACAGAAGGGGTTGTTGTCACTGCTCGGGACTCAACCCTGGGGGCAGTGCTCCAAATACAGCTCACACCAGCTCTCCGGGGTGGGGGGAAGAAAAGTCCTGTGTGAAAGCAAGCTTAACGTCCAAAAAAAAAAAAAAAAGAAAACAATGAAGATGAAGGAACAGAAAAAACCACAAGATCTTAGAGCTGAGAATTGATAATTGAAACATATACTCATTGCAGCCCTGCCATACGCTTTTGCAGGGTTACCAGGCTGAGGGCGACTGGTCACTGCTCCACGGCAGCATCATGCAGCCTCCTAACTAGATGCAGACAGCTTTGGGGTTTGAAGTCTCTAGCTTCGAAAAAATGAGAACGAAAAAACATAGAAACATCTGCATTTACATCTCAGCTTGCCAGGAAGCTGTAAGGGAAGATGCTGATTGAATCGTTTGTCTCTGTGGCAAAGAGCTTCTTCTCTGAGTTTATGCGTGCAGGTATCCAGAAAGCATTCCTTTTGTTGGAAAAGAAACACTGATACACAAATCAACCCAAGCCAAAGACAGCAAGTATTTCACACCCGTGTTACATATAAGGAAATAATGTCATAACATAACAAAGGATTGTGTATCTGATTTGTATTACCTCAATTTTTATCCCTGCATGTAGTTACCTCCAGCCTCCTCCTTTATTCTTCAAGTACTATTAAAAACATGGCAAAACTAAAAAAAGAGAAGATTCTTCATTTTTCTACTGTGCTGATAACAGCTGAGAGGATCTACTTTAGATATCATCAAATCCCAGGTACAACTAATCAGAAGATGAATTTTGAACTATGGCATTTTGTCTATTCATTAAACTGACCCTCCAGCTTCTCCAAACATTTCTAAACCATCAATCACCACCGGCACCCTTTGTATTTTTATTTTGTTTTCAAGTTGAGTATTTAGAAAATATTTATATGCTACACTTTAACTCCAGCTTGAGAAGTCATTCATTCCCTTACAAGGCACAGAGAGTCAAAGGAATTGTCCAAAATAGATTTTTTTAAATCCCTAGCATTATTAATAAAATAGAACAGTAAAAGTTTTCATAACTAATATTTTAAAAATATTTCACCCTGATGCATAGAGAATAAGAGGTAATGTTAATTTTCATAAGTTCTTTTTACTTTCATATGTAAGCCAAAACCTAGAGGATTTTTAAGACAATAGAAATAAAAGTCTAAAATCATGAGTTTGTTCATTCCTCTTCTTCCTTATTAACAGCCCTGCATTGTGGGCTTGATTCCAATACAAATAGAGCAGGGTCTAAACAAACATGGACTGCCATTTTAGCTTCACAGATAGGAAAAAGAATACAGCTACTTGATACCAAAAATAGTAAGACAATGCAATTTATAGTAAGACTTCAGTTATGTCCCACCATTTGATGTCAATGGGTCCCATATTTGAAACAGCTCATGTTAGTAATGAGAAACAAGAGACAGTTTTCAAATTTATTCTTAGTGATATATCTGTAATTCAGTAGCCACTGAACTGCCTTAGGTCAGTAATGTTTTTAAAACCGAGACCTCACGATAAACTCTCTCTCGGTTTGTTACAAATTTAACAGTTAAGCAAAGCCCTACCATGAAGATTGCTTTGCACCAGTTGTGCTTATTGCGGTATAAGCTGCAATGTTCCAGCTATACTATCCCACAAACCTTCTCCGGTGGAAAAAATTAATAAGCAACACAAATATTGAGCAAAAATACCATTCCAAAAATACTTTAATTTATTCATAAAAAATTACAACATGTTTCTCCTAAGACTTCACTATTGCCTGAGACCATTCCATAAAATAGTCTGATAGCCAAGAAAGTAAACAACCCACTTAGGGTTAAACCTAAAATGAAGATTTAATAAAATATTCTAATGAAAACAGAAGTTCTCAGATTTCTATTTTCAGTTGTCAAATATGTTCCTAAATTTCCATGTTCTAATGTATGCATGCAACATTTTTTGGCATCATAAAACACAGAATAAATGATGAATTGCCCTGGAATTCCCAGAGAATTAGTTCTGATATGCATGTGAATACCAAAGGAATCCGCTGGGATTCCTGTTAATGGAGTGACTACAAAGCAAAGTTGGAACAATTTGACACTTAGTATAAAGTTAGAATTTATCGGTCACTGCACATCAGTTAGTTTAACGCGCTGGCAGAATCCTTTGTATTTGACATCTGAAAGTGTAAAGGAGAAAACTGTTTTGTCAAAGCACTGGTGCTGGCAATAAAACTAAGTAAAAATACATTGATATTTTAATAAGAGTAATAACATAAAACCACTATGAGTTAAGGAAGAATAATGGACTTTGCTAAGTAATGTATACATTTCATGAACCTGCATATGAACCTAAATACTAGGCACAGCATACCTCCTCTCTGCATAAATTTCCATACAGAAGAAGTTTCAGAAAAAGCTACCAAAAATACAACTATTTTCTATCTCCGATTCTGTATTACAAAACTGCATATTCCAGCATATCCTCCTCCTAT